GCTGGTTTGAGGAGGTTGTGCTGTTGAAGCGACGTTGCGAATCTTGCTGGTAGGATGGAGAGATGAAGGAGTTGGAGGGGGAGATTGGCTACTAGACCCATGATGTGGAGGATGCTGCTCTGTTTCGTCATCCAGAGCAGAAACGTCCGGTCCGCCTCCCCGCTCTGGCGAAGACTCGAATTCTGGCGTGGGTAAAGCAAACAGGTTGTTGGCGTTCTCCTCGTCGCTTTTGTGGTCTTGCCCCTCTATTTCAAACCCATTCACAAGATTCTTCTCATTGCCATGCTCGTCCTGCTGAGTCCTATCAATACCATGGTCTCCTGCTCCAGCTCGGGGTTCGTATTCTTGCTGAGACTCTATCGGAGGAGGGGAGCAGCTCGAAGCTATCACAACCTCTTCCTCGTCCTCCTCCTCGTTGTTCGGAACACTGCTTAGGGATGAGGATGAGTAGGCAAAGTGCAAAGATTGGGGAGTTATGGTCATTGATGGCCTTTCATTCGATGGTCTATCCGCAAAACTACGGCCAACTTTATTTGGACTACAAAAAGACGAGCTCGACGACGTTCCTCCAGGGGGGACCGGGAGGGCAGTATGTCCACGGGGAGTTGACTGCTGCGACGCCCACGCCCACGGAGATGATGGTGGCGGGGACGGGAGACGGAGAGAAGGTTGTTGAGATAGCGCAGCTCTCTGTGTATGGGGTACTGGAGTATTGGGTATTGGAGTAGGAGTCGGAGATGCCAGAACTAGTTCTGAAACTACTTGTTCATCTTCAACCGAAGATGAGAGCTGGGGTGTCCTTGTTGAAGTAGAAGGGGAGGAGCAAGAAGATCGTTGTGCAAGCGAGGCGTGATTAGAGCTCATGTATTCCGGTTTTATTGGTGACGACTTTCGTTTGGGCGTCGAAGATAAAGGTTGGGATGTCCTTGGTGAAGAAAAAGAAGGGGATCGTTGAGCAAGATGGCTGAAATCAGGGCTGGGCAATGATAGCGAGTACTTTTGTTTGGGAGTCGAATTTGGACTTCTCGTTGGTGGTTCATGGTATGCAGGAGAACGATCGAGGCTCTGGGGTATATCTGACGATGGAAAAATCAGTGATGTTGATGGTGCAGGGTGGTGGTTGGCTGTAATCGCAATTTCTGACGCTGTAGAAGAGGAACTGCGCTCCTCCTTATCCTCATTGTCAATTTCTGCCTGATCCTTTTCATCCAATAACTGCTGGTCCCGATCTACCATCTGTTCGTCTTCGTCTTCCGTAATATCAACTTTATTCGCATCCTCCTCATTGTCTCCCAAACCTGGTGACATCGAATCCGCAGGGGAATGCATCGACGGGTGGGCAGGTGGAGCAGGAGACGCCTCAAGCTGATGCGCAGTTGTATTGCTAGGCTCCAAACATTCCCGATCCCCAAGTGTCTGCAGCCTCAGCGAAGCAATCGTCCCCTCCTCTGGAACATCAGCCGACGATTTGCTGTGGGCAATCGGGCTAGGATGAAATACCACTGGATAGATTTTCTTCGGAGCTATTTGAGTTTTAGAAAGGAGATAGACATCGAAAAAGGAAATATGAAACGCACTTGACGTTGAGATCGCTTGGTCTGTGGAAGAGGTAGTCTGTGACCAGTTGGCCGGGGAAAAGTCTTGTGAATTATTGGAACGAGAATTAGCTTCACAACTTTGTGTCCTTGAGCCAGATGAGAATGGCGAGCGTCGACGAGAAGGCTCAACAGGCGGAATGTTGTCCCGGCTCGAGTACAAATCCAGAGTAATGTTTCGCGGAGACTTATCATTGAAAGCCTGCACTTGTTTCGTCAAATCAAACATGGTTGTGTCTCCCACTGAAAAAAAAAATTGAGCTAGGATCGAAGAGCTTTGCAAAAATCATACACACCTACGGTCATGTTGTCTGAGGAGCATCGAGTGCAAAGTGATGATGCTTGTAACCCTCATTAGCGAAGTAAGAGGAAAGCAAAAGCGCGACCGTACTTTCAACGGCTGTGAACTGTCGTGGTGTAGATGGGCCGGGAGAAGATAGATCGATTATTGTCGAGGCATTCGCGTAAGCCTTTTTCCTGGGACTGACCCCCATTTCGTGGCGAACTGGGGGGGCGGGAACGGAGGCGGCAACAGCGTCTGGAACTAAAATTCTATTGTCGGAAAGGGATGGGCAGAGCAACAGAAAAAATACTCACAATTAGCCTCTGGATCTCGAGCTCTCTCCAGAAGCTCCCCGACAGAAAAATCCAGGGCATCCAGCCGTCCCATGATGGAGAAATTGGGGTTATTGTCAGCGCTTCGCCCAATTGTTTTCTCGAGCCTCTTCAAAAACTCAACCAAATCCCTGTGAACGGCGAGTTTAGCCTCTAATATTTTCGCTTGCCGCGCCTCGACGATTTTGGCCTCCTCCCTCTCTGCGAGTAGGAGATCGATCTTGGCATCAAGGCGTTTGTAGTTATCATCCTGTTTTTGCATGCGTGGGTCAATCCTGTCATAAAACCGTCTAATAACGTTTATAACATCGTCGCTATTTGCCTGTGGTGCTGGTTGTGTATGTGGGTATGCAACCGCTGGTAGCTGATATTGTTGGATGTGGAATTGAGGCTGCTGAAGATGTTGAGACTGTTGTTGAACTTGTTGCTGCCGTTGTTGCTGTAACAGAAGAATCTGCGCTTGGTGATGGCGTTGGGAGTCCTCGAGTGTTAGTGGCGTCGGTGCTGCATTGCGAGTTACAGACGCTGAAGTCGATTGTGAGGCTGAAGACCGTATTGCTGACCGCGCGTTTCTGGCTCTATAATGGCCGACAGAAGATGGGGTGTTAGCCATTGCGGCGAGGAGAAACGACGAGCGAGAGACTAGACACGGTAATTTATTATTGGACAACAAATATGCCCGAAATTCCCAGGGCATTACACACAACGCGTACATAGAGTTACATAGCCGCAAATATTGGCTCTGTCTCTCACCTCGGCATGGAACTCCCTAGTACATTCGTCTTCCAATGTACTTCCACGCTCTCCTCACCTTTTGTGTTCAGGTATACCCCTTCAACCATTGTTCGATCAGAAACAAATTTGTATCGTTGGCGCAGGCCCAGTAGGCTTGGCCGCTCTAAAGGTTGTTCTCGACGCCCCTCAGTTCAAAGCGGGTTTGTGGAAACCAACAGTTTTTGAAGCAAGACAGAACGTAGGTGGTATATGGTACGCATAATGCCACTACAGAGCTTTTGGGCCTTATCAACAACCAGGCTTCCAGCATCTGCAGACGATCCTGGATATGAGGACTTTTCTCCAACCACACCCCTATATGACTGCCTTACCACAAACCTTGCCCACCCATCCATGGCATACACGGATTTTGCCTTCCCTCCCTCGACTCCATTATTCCCACCCGCGTCAACTGTACTCACATACCTCAACTCATATGCTGATCACTTTCATCTCCGCCCATATATCCACCACAATACCACCGTAACAAACATAGAATATCAATCCCCAAAATGGATTGTCCAGACGGGTCCACCAGCACCCTCCTCTCCTGCTAAATTCGATCTAGTCATCATCTGCAATGGCCATTACAAAGTCCCGCGATACCCCGATATCCCAGGGCTCGGAGCGTGGCTCGATGCACGTAAAGCAACTCACTCCGCATGGTACCGAAACCCTTCGTCCACGCTTGGGAGCACTATCCTTGTCGTTGGTGGTGGGCCAAGCGGACAGGACATCTGTAATGAATTGCGCTTATCAGGACGCACCGTTTTCCAATCCGTGTCCTCTCCAGAAGGCTTGGGACCTCACGCCCGCGGACAATTATCCCAGTTAAATGACCCTTCGAAAGGCGAAGTAACTTTCTCTGATGGTTCCACCCTATCAAACATCGACCACTGCATCTTCGCTACGGGCTATGAATTCTCCTTTCCCTTCTTTCCCCCCCACGTCCTCCAACCATCCGTGTCAGATCCCATACCGCCATTACCAACAACTCTTCACAACTCGACATACAACGTATTTCCTCTCGCAAAACACATCTTTCCTCTCCAAACTGCGTTCCCACCGACATCTCTCGCGTTTCTGGGACTCTTGATTAGAGTCGCCCCATTCCCACTAGTCGAAGCACAAGCCAAAGCCGTATTGGCCGCCTTCTCCAACCCAGAGAAACTCGATCAACTCAGTGAGGCAGTTGACGTCATGAATCGGTACCAAGAACTACGCACACGCCTCTGGGACAGCAATTCCGCGTCAGGGAATGAGGAGATACAAATCTCCAAATTGTGGCACAGGTTTGAACCGCTAGAGCAATTTGAGTATCGGGATCAGATGTGCGCGTTTGCTGGTGATGAAACGCGGGTTGAGAGCTGGGAGGTGGAGATATATTTGAAGAAGAACCTGTTGAGAAAGGTGTGGAATGCCCTTGTGAAAACTGGGGAGGCGGAACAGTGTATCAAAGGTGTTGGCCAGGGCGGTAAATATGAGTGGGTCGAGCTCATGAAGTGGATGGTCAAGAAGGGAGAGGAGGAGGATTTGGAGGAAAAGGCGAGGTTGTGATCACTACGTACACCAGCAGATCACAATTTTTAGAATGTGGACGAACAATCCTCAAAGGTTGGCAAGTAACACTTTGCGTTAGAACAAATATATTTCCATGATGTTAATTTACAGAGAGAATAAAGGTATCAGACACATCCATCATAGCTCGACATGAGCAGGGGTATGTGCATGAGCAGTCCCTTCAGTTTGCGCTGTGTCCGCTTCATGATGATGGGCTAGGTCCGTTTCTGTAGGTATCAGCGAGGAGACAACATGTAAAGTTTCGGATGGCAATAGAGTCGACGTTGAATGGACATGTGAAGAGAGCGTCGACGATGCAGCGGATGCCGCCAGCGACAAACTTGACGTGACAGTAGCGATAACTTACGTCGCCAATCCATCCTCCGACTTCAGCAGTGCCTCGTCACCACTAAAGTCCGGTATAAACCTTGTCCACCACAAAGCCATCCTCAACCCTCAACCCACGAAGCGTTGTTTCAGAACGAACAGGACGACGAGGAGAAAGAACATAAATGCGGATATGATTATAACGCGGTCAAGCCAGTCAGATTTTTCAAGGGCGGTGACGAGGTGCTTTGAGGTGATCATGAAGCTGGAGAGTTTATCATGTTGAGACGAGGTCGCGTGGAGGGACGCTGAGGATGATTCGAGCATTTGATTGGAGAGGACGGAGCGTTCCAGTTCATTCTGCATGGCCGCAATAGTACGGCGGAGCGCGTCTGTCACGTCCGCGTTGGCTTTCATGAGAGCGTCTTCGCTGCATTACGGCAAATACTCTTCAGATACTAAAAACCATAGAAGAAAGAAAATGCTCACCCAAATTTCTCGTTGCTGGCCCCATAATTGCTTTGGTTGCCCTCTTCCTTTAGTATGCCAGCCAAACTTAACAGTTCGTCTCGATGGGCTGTTCTCTGCGACTCGATAGCTTTCTTTGAAATAAGAAGCGCAGATCGTGTGTCTTTGCGCATTCTATGAACAGTAAGAGCGGTCTCAATCAGTCGAAGAAGAACTGTACCGATCGAGAGCTTCGCGAGATGTGTCGACGATAGCCCCTAGCTCCCTTCTAGCCTTCTCCCCCTGCTGATCGTCTACAAGAAAACCCAAATCCTAGTGAATGGAGACTACATCAAAATAACAGCCTCCTGTCAGGCTGGAAAATGAGCTCACTTCAATCTGCCTGGAGTGGGCATCAATCGCATCCTTCAGCTCTTCAGCAAGTTTCTGCTGCAGTGACAAAGGGCCTGTGCATTGCCGAAGAGCGGGAATTTGGACCTCATTGATGTGTTTTTGCCGTCTGTCGAGAGAGGATATGAGGTTTTGTGTTTCCTGGGCAAGTGTACTGGGAAGGGGAGGCATCGTTGCTGACGACAACGCCATTACTAAGCAAGTCATCATCACCTATTTCAAACATGTGCATACAGATGTGTTCCCCTTCTGAGCCTATGCCACTGGCATTTGTTCCACTCAACTCGTACCAAGAATGCCAGAAGCGACCGATAATATCGACGCTGGCCAATGTGTTCCACCATCTAGAAAGAGAAGTCGTGTTGAATCGCCAACACCCCACGCTATCTTAGTCGCGTCACCCAATGGCTTTGTCCACCTCCCGCTCGAAGTTCTGTCAGAGATCCTCAGCCACCCCAACACCACCAAGGACATCCTTTCGGTTACCCGTACTTGCAAGTTCTTGTGCGACACACTTTTAGAGAAATCGAATGAGAACATCTGGCGTAAAGCGAGGGAGAGAGCTCTACCTCTACCTATACCAGATCAACAAGGACTGCTCTCAGAGGCAGCGTATGCTTCATTCCTCTTCGACGGTGGTCCTTGTGAGGCATGCGGAACGGTGACGGGGTTGCCTTATGTATCGTTCGCTTTACGCCTCAGATTGTGTCCGAACGTGAGATTTCTTACCTCCTATACGCTGCGACATTAACGCGCATGCTCAGGACCATTGCACGACGGTGTTTGTGACAACGTGCGTCCTGATGCATATATTCGACGCGTCCTTTCTGACTTTATTTGGGACAGGTTGGCAATCATGCCGACCGACATCGCTGGGTTGCAAGAAACAACCCGTTTAGTTGTGTTATCTTCTATCCCCCAGATGGAGTCGATCAAACGTAATGGTGAGATCAGATTACGCAAAAATTCTTCTCACTTCAATATCACAACATAGGTCCCTTGGCAGTTTATTCAAGGCTGAACTCACATTGTATGGTCGCATTTATCCCAAACTCTTGCCGCTGGGACTGATGGTGTATATAAGGGCCTACGGTCACTCCGATTTGTCGCCGAACGGCTTGGACGACCGCACTAAACGAATATGAAAACATGACTGACCGTACCTCGTATGCCGAGGTCGGTACTGTGAAATTTCTTTCTTTCTCTATCATTTATTTTACGACCAGAGCACTCAAGCTAAGAGGGATCGCAAGAAGAAATGGATGCCGGTATGATACCCATCAAGCAATTATAGCTGCTTTTAACAGCACCTTTTTTAATTTTATTACAGATTTGTGTCAACATATACGATTGGTTAAGTAGCGTTCAAGATGCCTTCCGTCAACTCAAGAAAGAAAACGAAGCTGCGTGAGTCAGTTCCCTATCTCTAGACTTGCACTCACATTTTTTGCCCTTCAGCGGAAAAGGTCTTGCAACTCTAAATGGATGGGACTTCTGGGACATGATGAACTGTACCGTTTATGGGCCTTACCACAAGCACAAAAACCGAATCTATGAGCAAGTTGGCGGCGTCGGTGAGCTCTTGGGAAGCAAGCTGACCACCACTTGGGTACTGACCACCTTACGCCAGAGTTCGAATTGATGAAACCGAAAATTGAGGTTCAACTCCTTGCGCTGCAGGAGCGACGGAAACGTCGAGTAGCAGAAGCCGCCCATAGAAAGAGTAGAGAAGAAGCACTCCAACATCATTCCCGCCTCTGCTCAGCCATACCCGCACAGGGCAAATCGCGAAAACCGGTCCCCGCTGTATCTGCATTTCTGAAGCTCCCAGTTCTCGACCTCTTGCAATCCCCTGGATCGCTACCAGACGGTGCTAGCGTTTCCAAGACTCTGAAGAAGGATCCTCTCGTGACTTGCATTCTCGAGAATCAGGTGGCTCAATGGACAGACAAAGCTAGGCAAGATTTTGGAGTCATGCTCGGCTATCCGGCAGAATGGAAGTCCGCGAACAAAAGCATAGTACATCCAGCAGAGCGGCTATCTGCGAGGTATTTGTGCAAGAAATGCAAGTACTTTCCAGCCAAGTATCGCGATTACGAATGTTTGGATTTCGCGGGTGCATGTGCACATCAGTGTGTGATAGGAAACAAGAAAGCCAAGAAGAACGGACAGGCCAAATGGAGTGCTTCAAACTTCAAAAAGGACGACAAAGTGAGTTTTTTTGTTCACCGTCTTGCAGCAGACTATGATATTTTGGAAAGGCTTCTGCGGCTCTAGAGCAGTTGATTGCAATATTTGGCCATGATAACCAAAAGTCAAGCGCCAAGGATGTTCTATCCCGTAAAAATTACGTTCTCTGTGTCTCCTGTGACCCTCCTTTGTACGTTTGTACCGCCGGCGTTGTGCGTATCCAAGTTTTCTTTCATTCCGAAGGGGATGCTCACCCTGTTGATCACAGGCGGGCCACAGTCATCGACACGAAGAGATGAAGATGCAGATTGCCATCACCGGATACGATCCATTGGTTATGGGCGCGCACGATGTCGAAAGGGGGCTTGTAAGAAAGCTGTTGGGTCCTGATAGGACGGTCAAAGCTGTACAGGAGAAGATCAATTTTGGGTGCCGACATTGCTTGCCAACTTCGAAATGGGCAGGGACGTTGATTGGGTCGGCGGGAGGGGGGTACGGCTTTGGCCATTTAACATCAACAACCGGAAACGATGATACAGCTGGGGGGGAACAACCGCCACCCTCTGGCGCTGCTGGAGAGGAGGAAAGGAACGAGAGGAAGGAGAAGCCACCCAAGCTATTCAGTTTTAATGGTGTCCGGTCTCACCTGAAAGCCAAGTAGGTGCCGTGTCCTTCGCTACTTTTGTTTTTGTTGACAGTCCGCTTTCCCGCAGACATAAGATCGAGAATATACGGGATGAAGATTTCTTCTGCGATCAGCCTCACGGGGTAAAATTGTAATTACTAACCCTTCTAACTTCACAAATTGTGATACAGAATTTGCCAAATCATTCATGCTACAGTATGATACATCTTATACCCTTCTGGCGATTCAAAGTGGCTGTGTTTTCGCTTTGTAAATATTATCATCTCGGAACTGAAAATCTTCAAGTCGTCAATTATCCCTCCGCCCTTAGTTAGATCAGTCACATGGGTCCAATAACAATGGAACAGCCGGACGTGACAATCAGTCGTAGTGAACGGGTCAGCCGGGGCGGCCGGTTTGATTGCCATTGTTCCATTGGCAACGAAGCGGCCGGTTTCTGACCCTGGCAGGGTTTACGCTCCCGCGGCAGAACCACTTTTTCAACCGACGGGCTCTCAGCCCATCCTGATGGAACTACAAAAAAATTTAACTGGGGCCTCTCTCCCCTTACTTACATCCATCTAGATCTGCAGCATAATGTATCTTAATCTTTATCTCATCCAACTCCTGCAAGATAGTCTCCATATCAACCAAAAACTGAATTTTGTCCCAACAGGGAAACACTCACCTTGTAGTTAAGAAATGAAAGCTTTTCATTTAGCTATATACTCACACCTTGTCTACTCATTTGTGGCTCCATTGGGGTGTCAAACTGGAATTGATGGTTCTGTTGGGGATGTCTCTGTCAGGGTGTTTGACATTGAGATTGAAGGCGCCATGGGGGATGTTTCTGTCGGGGTGTTTGACATTGAAATTGAAGGTGCTGCGGGGGATGTCACTGTCGGGGTGTTTGAGGTTGAGATTGAAAGCGCCGCGGAGGATGTTGCCGTTGGGGTATTTGAGGTTGAGATTGAAGGCGCCGCGGGGGATGTCTCCGTCGGGGTGTTTGACATTGAAATTGAAGGTGCCGCGGGGGATGTCTCTGTCGGGGTGTTTGTCATTAAAATTGAAAGCACCACAGAGGATGTTGCTGTCGGGGTGTTTGAGGTTGAGATTGAAGGCACTGTCGGCAATGGCCCCATCAGGGTGTTTGACATTGAAATTGAAAACATGACCTCCACAATATGGACATCTGTGGCATGATCTTGAATACATCAAGTTAGCAGAGCACTTTATTGACTGTGGCAGAGCATTTGATTGACACTGACAGGGAATTGAGATTTCAAAATGTTGACTCCCGCGGGGCATTTGATTGACTCCGACGGGGGATTCAAAATTCAATATGTCAGCTCTGGTGAAGCATTTATTCAAGATAGAGGAGTCAATCCACTACAGCATTTTTAAGCTGGTGCCCAGATCATCCATCCATGTGAACTGAAACATGCAATGGCTTGGAATATGTGATTTGCAGAAACAAGAAATATATTGTCAAGAAATCAACGCACAATATTGATGAAAGGTCCTGCTATTAGCCATGACAAATCCTCATAATACAAAAGAAAGATCCACTGAATTGGAGGTCAGATAGTTGAGGTGTGCACCATTTAGTTTTTAGAAGTAGAACAACTCTGGCAGCCCGCCTTACCAAATATGGGCCAGTGGCAACCTAATATGGAAGGAGCGCATTATTCACACACCATCTGAAACTACGCACTGCGCCGTGCTCATTGGCGATGCAATGAGCCAACAAAACAAAGACATTGGGGGATCCCAGAAAGGAATAGAATCATTTGGAATAGTTTTCTCAGTGATTGAAGAAGTTTTTGTGAACAGACCTCGGAAAGAGCTATTTGGTGCATGAATCTTTATACAAACCAGCTGCACAACATGCCATTTTGCATACATCAAGTTATATTTTTTTTTCTTCCCTCACAACTGCTTCCACCACCTATCTGAATTGATTCTAAAGTATGTAGGCTATATTTGGGGAAAGTATGGGAGCATTTCAACAAGATTTAGATAGTGAAAGGAAATAAGAAAGAATGTGGTTTCATGTTTAGAGTCATATTTTCACCCTTTCAAGCTCCAGCTCCCCCAAACCATCAGAAAACTGCTTCGGAGCAGGGGATATATATTCTGCCATATGTTAACTATGTATAAGAAAGGCTCAGATGTTGAGATTTGGTAGCAAAGTATACAGAAAAGTCAACAATATCATGTTGCGAGATATTTCATGCATTCAACCTCATTTCTCCACCATGCACCAAAATTCTTTTCCAAAGTAAACTTGAACCTATTTTACAACAGTTATAGTATGCTGGAAAGATGTATTGAGAAGCTATAACAGTACAGCTCATTTTTTTCCCCCACAACTCCGGCGGGGCATTTCATTGACTCCGTCGGGGCATGTAAAATTAAATATGTTGACTCCTGCAAAGCATTCAATACACTCTGATGGGGAATATAAAATTTGAATTGGGTGGGAGACAGTTGATTGACTTTCATGGGGTATTTAATTCACCCCATTGAGGCATTTAAAATTAAATATGTTAACTTCTGCAGGGCAGTTTATTCACTCCGACGGAGCATTTTATTGACCCCATCGGCGAATTTAAAATCAAATATTTTGACCCCGCAGCAATTTAATTCACCCTGATGGAGCATTTTATTTACGCCGTCGGGGCTTTTAAAATTAAATATGTTAACTCCCGCGGGGCAGTTTATTCACTCCGACGGGGCATTTTATTAACCCCGTCAGCGAATTTAAAATCAAATATTTTGACCCCGCGGCGATTTAATTCACCCCGACGGAGCATTTTATTTACACCGTCGGGGCTTTTAAAATTAAATATGTTAACTCCTGTGGGGCAGTTTATTCACTCCGACGGGGCATTTTATTGACCCTGTCGGCGAATTTAAAATCAAAAATGTTGACCCCGCGGCCATTTAATTCACTCCGACAGGGCATTTTATTCATGCTGTCAGGGCATATAAAATTAAATATGTTCTCTCACAGGGCACTCCGACAGGGCATTTTATTCACTCTGTCATGAAATTTAGAGTCAAATATGTTGACCCCCGCGGCGCATGTAGTTTACTCCTCCAGGGCATTTTATTTACTCTGACAGGGTATTTTGAATCAAATATGTTGACTCCCATGGGGCATTGGGTTCACTCCTCCAGGGCATTTGAAATTGAGTATGTCAACTCTGGCAATGCATTTACAATTAAACATAATAACCCCTCAAGTCAATCAAATTCTTCATGGAGTCAAAATAGTCAAATTTAAATGCCCATGGTGGTTGACATACACAGCTGTAAATTCTCTGCCGGAGTGAATCAAATGCCCCGCGGGAGTTGAAATAACCGCCCCATTGGAGGCAATCGAATGCTTAACCAGAGTTGACATATTCAATTTCAATAGATGTCATTGATTAATATTATGGACACAGGTAATTTACCATTAGAGCAGGTTGGGGTATATACAGCATGCTTTGCTGACCAGCAGCTGTGTGGTAGAGCAAGTAGCTTAGGGCGGAGGTTTACAATTAGCTACTACTGATAGAAGCAAACAGTACAACATCAAAGCAGGTAACAGTATTACAGTTGTTCTAGTAAAGATTGGGGAACTATGGTGTGATGCCAACGGGACACCCAGAAGGCTGCCGTAGATAGCTGCTGCGGCAAGAGACGCCGTGCCCGCAAGCCATTTGTATGCATCCGGCTGGTCCATTGGTCTTGGGATGTTTTGGAAAGTCCAGCCGGGACCGGCTGGCCCGTTCATTACACCGCCATTTGTGCAAAATGCTGATGGCATCTGGCATGAATCTCCGCTTGACAGATTACTGATGGAGGTTGCCCCAGCATGGATGGCAGGTGTGTCGGAGCTTGAGGCGTAAATGTTAGAGCCAGCGGCTCGACACCTGACCCACAGGTTTACAACTCTCCTCAGGAAGACCTGTACCGCCAATTTTCTTCAAGAAACGAAATGATGTACTTGAGATACAAATTATTCATAAGAAGATAATAAAATGATACACTGAGCACTTCCAAGCTCCCACAGGTAGAAAAAACATGGAATCTTGAGCTCAACATAAAAAGGCCCGTGCGAGAAACTCTCCAATATTCCCCCAAGTCATTTAAACTCCGCGCTATGTTTGGTTATTTCCAGACTTCAACCAGAACCAAACTCACCTTCTTCTCCACCACAACCGTTTCTCGCCCAGTTGCTCGCTCGCTCCCCTCCTTGTTTTCATCTCGCTACCCTGTGGTCTGCGCCCCATGTAATCTCCCTCATGTTGTTCCATTTGTTTTCCTTGTTACCCACCCGTGCGCCTGTGCGCGGTCGCCACCTGTCATTGTTCTGGGCTTTTGTTCCCGCCCATTGCCCCTTGTAGTTCCTCCCCGGCAAATGCCCACTTGCTGATACTGACTCTCCTGGACAGGTTTGCTTTCGCATTGCGCCACGTAGCGGCAGCCGCATCAGATGCCCTATCACCAAAACCCCAGCTTGGCTCCTCAGCCAAAGACAACGTCTCTCCATCCCCCCTCCGCTGTCTGCCTTCCTCTCATTGAACGAGCCAGAGGCTCCGCTTTGACATGCCTTGTTTGTGGTTGTGCATTCGGCGGACAGCGCAAAGGGTGGTCAGTTGGGGGAATGTTTTTTGAATGGATGGGCAGACACAGGTAGTAATTGGAGCTGCCTCATTTCTCACATCCTTCCGTGCACCCTATACCTTTGGCACCCTATACCTTTGTATCATGCAGCCTGTTTATAGTCCTTGCTTATGAAAATATAATGAACTTCATCCTCCTACTTGCCTCTTGTATTATGGACTAAATAAGAACATGAACACCTATAAATATGACCAGGGAGAAATATTGAAAATATAGAGGATTTATGTAGGCTGGGCTGCCAGCTGGTCCCCAGCTGCCCCAGACAGGTTGTGCCGAGATCGACCTGGTGACATGCTGCTATTAGTCGGATTTCGATCATGGTGTGGACTCGGATCATTATTGCCTGACAGGTGGTGAAAGGTGCCACCCAGAGTTTGATTCTCAGGTTTTTCTCACATGCCTGTCATTTGGCGGTGTACAAGTCATTGTCATGTCCGGCTACTACGTTTGGTACGTGACATAGTGACTGATATATGTGCCGCCCTACATACCTAATACAACGTTAACAACTAGTATTTTACAAAGTCGAAAGGCTAGATTAACTGGCTGTCTAGCAGCTAAAACTCCTCTCTCCTCATGAAAATGCGGTATGGCGAACAAATAATGATATGGTCATGAGGCTGACCGTGGGGCAGTGAAGGCGTCCATGATAATTGAGGAGGATAAACGGGATGTCTTTATGAGTATTTGACCTTAGAATGCGTATACATATCTGTGTCTTTTTAGCCTGATCTATCCCGTAAGTCCCTTGTTCGTCTGTAGAATTTGACACCGATTCGAATAACCCGATACTATCGCGATGCAGTACGGTTACTACCACATCCCTATTGCCAACGTTAGCCTATCCCACTCTTTTTGACACGAAGTTGGGTTGACGTTCTGCAGGTTTGAACTTACTGTGGATTCCATCTTGACGTGCGAGGTCATTCTGGTTATCCGTCACGAGACAAAGACAGAAAGCATGCCGACTACAATTCGAACATCGCCTTCAAGTAGTATATATTTACAGCGTTCTCGGGATATGATAATGGCGACGTTTGGAAGACCGTATTTCTATCTACATTGTCACTCATCCTCCGAATCCTCATCTTCGAACTGGGTGGCATGGAAGACCTCATTCTCGTCGAGTCCAAGCACATACTGAACCGTCTTCTTCCTCCATGTGGCACTGGCATCTCCTTCGATACTCTGTTTGGTAAAAGATCTCTCCATCTTTGCCGGAACCACAAAAATTATTGGCCAAGGTTCTTTGGGAGTAGGTCGAAGGGGAGATAGCAATTCGTTATTGAGACTCAGGTGTGACTGGAGAGCCTTCAGACCTTTAGTCTTGATAGGATGAGTCAAAGCATTCGTTACTTGAATGCCGACCAAAGGTCTCTGCGGTTGGAAGATGATAGCGTCGAGGGATGCAAAGTTGTCTGAGATAGGTTGAAGATAGATGGACTGCCTTGCATCCATGCAATCTGCAATCTTACTCGACAGCTCCAGGGGTGGTCCAAAGACAAAATGTTCTAAATTTTTCAGGAGATCCAATTGGCCGTCTGGTCCATTCTCAAGAGATTGAATCGTGAACGAACAACCACCTCGGTAGGGGAGGTACCAGTGTGCTTTGAGCTCCCATAAATTGCTGCGAAAAGTGGCAGCTTTAGGAGACCCCCGGATACTTTGATACAATTCGAGCACAGTCTCTGTGCTCTCTTTATGCAAGGCCTTGATGATTGTGTTCATGGCGCCTTTTGAGATTGCTTTGACATGGCAACCAGTTAAAAGCCTCACCTTGGTACTGGGGTATACAGCAAATGCGCGATGCGGCACGACCTCATCTCCAACAACGCCATCCATGGCAGCCTTGACATCCTTACTTTTTTGGATGACATCCGATATTTCCGTTTGGACAGTTTTCCGCGCTTCGCACGACTCGGCGGCATGCAAAAACTGGCGGGGCACAGATCCGCAGATCTTGTAGGTCTTCCAAAATCGGCTTAATGTGATGTCTTTTTCTGCTATGAACAGCCTAAAAAAATAAGCGGTGGACCAAAGAGAGGAACACAATCCACCTATGATGCTACAAGCCATTCATTCTGGGACCAAGGTGTCAGGACAAATGATGCGTATTCGTCTTCAACGTTACTTTTGAGCCATTTTCGATCCTTTCTGGACCTTGGCGACGATGTCAACAGTACGTAAAGGTTGGTGTTATGAAAGATGTATTTGTAAGGTTGACAGGTTGAACCGTCCGCATCAATAAGGGTCAGAACATCGTCTCCTGCAATCCTTATGTCTCTTGATTGGGATCGAACCTCATCTGTGATGAGGTATACATCCCCACATGTGTCTTGAAATACGACCGGTTGGGCCTTGATAAAGCAAAGGATTAAGATGTAATATAGGAGACACGTTTTGCCTTTAATTATCAGTTAGCTGTGACCGCGAGTTCAAAGATGGCAAAAGTGCTCACCAATTCCTGGCGAACCTGTGAAGACCGCACTCCCAAGGACACCTCGTTTCCTGCCATTGAACAGGTCGATCATGGTATTCCATTCGTCCCGGATAAGTGTTAGTCGCTTCAAAGTGGGAATCTTCAGGTCGAAGGTGGTCAAGTCCATGTATCGAATAGTGCAGGGGAAGACTGCAGTCGACCCCGTGAAACTTGAAAGCTCTTTAGCATCGGCGATAATGTAGCTAGGACAATTGTCGGGTTCTGGTGCAGGATTGGCATCGACATCCATAGCATCGTCCAGGGTACTGGGGGAGGTGACGACTCTGGACACCGAGGGCACTAACTCGTCAGTGTTTGGCTCCCACGTGGCCTCGCAACTCTTCCTATGCAAGAATTCTGCCTTAACTTTCAAGACATCATGTGCCTTGTAAGATGGTTCAGTCCGAGATGGATTAACGCTTTGAAGTTCAAGCTGTAGTTCCACGAAGTCATTTGTTGTCAAAGTCACTGTGCGAAAGATACTGCCAAACAGATGGCCCTTTCCCCACAGCTTCTGATGAAGCTCAGCCAACCAGTTTTGCAGCGATTCCTGTGACAGGTTGGAATCCTGGGATGTAGATGGAGAGACTGCATAAAAACAAGGATGTTGTAAATGAATGAACAATCAACAATCGGAATAGAGCCACAGAATGCATGGACATGGGCGGCAGCATGTAGGGTTCGAAACCGTAACAACATTGAAGACAAAAGGGCAAGCTCACCAGTAGCGGGTGGGATTTTGGCAATAATGTGGAGTGCACGGCGGGCAGGCGGTTCCTGCCAGACTTCCGAAATCTCCATCCAGTCTAACATTTCAGTGCCAACCGGGTTGATTGCGACTTGACTTAAGGACTCTGCGGTAGTATGTGGCATAAGGTCAATTTCAACCTACGAGAACATAGAAAGGTGAGTGTTGACAAGACTCAGGGTGGTAATCACCTTTAAAAGGGTTAGGTCTTTGGCAAGAACTGGGCGCTGCCCAATGCCCTTCTCGTGAACTTTGTCTTTCAAGTCAGATATATCCTCGTCGGTGGCGATTTCAACCTTGAAAACCTTGTTGTTGCCTTCAATGAGGCAGCGGAATGTGTGACTGTGCATACTTGAGACAACGTTGGCGCAGAGACACTCAATTATAAATCAATAAATCCGAACACCGATTGCTCCTATCACGGTCTGGGACAATATTGTCCAAGCTGCCGCGAATCAACGAAGGACATTTATTGCCAGTATACCGAGGGGTCAACGTAGCCGTGAGGCGAGAGGTTTGAGCAGCAAGCTACATATACGCAGCAGCAGTAAGCTGCATTGGAGCAACAGCAACATGCCACATAACGAACAGGAGGAGAATGTGTTGGAGACGCAGAAAGCCGCCGCGAATCGACGAAGGACATTCATTGCCAGTATACCGAGGGGTCAACGTAGCCGTGAAGCGAGAGGTTCGAACAGCAAGCTACATATACGCAGCAGCAGTAAGCTGCGTTGGAGCAACAGCAACACGTACGAGCGACAGCGACATGACACATAACGAACAGGAGGAGAATGTGTTGGAGACGCAGAAGTTATGCACAAAAGCAGACGTAGAACATATGAACGCCTCCTCTTTATTCGGAGGAGCTGAACAGTGGGCATGCAAATGTGAACAATCACCCTCAGTCGGGAACGACTCCCCGCCAGGTCCTCTCCAAGCCCAACCCACCATCCAACTCCACAGGGCTAGTGCACAGAATCAGACAGTCAAATATGAGACAACAAGGGTAGCAGCATTCGCTTGGTAGCATGAAGATGAAATAGAGGCGATGGCCAAAGACCTCCTATCGTGGTGCAAGAAAAAAAGGGCTGGAAAGAGTCAAAAGACGGTAGGTAATCGGAGATCTAGAAAGATACCAACAAAGCAGGTAACAGTGATGTTCGTGATTGTTTAAGATATCGCAATGGTAATAAACCCAGAGAACGATAAGTCAGAATAATCAAATGAAAACGGGATCTTCTGCAGTCCTGTCAAATCCAACGATATGGTAGCCAGTAAAGCCTTCAGCTCAATGTCAGAGCAATGAACGACAGCCCAGGCGAGGATTGTCGTATGGGGGGTCTTTTGCGACGAAGAGTCCGAAAGCCATTCTCCATGAATGAACGTGGATGAATTCTGGTTGGTCACAGCGGTGGTTCATACTGACGTGGGAGGGATAAACGTGAGCGTCGTTTGGGGAAGGAAAGTATGTTTTTCGGCAAAGCCTGTGTTTGAAGATAGGTTGAAGGAGATGGTGCCTTTTGAAGACGATCATCTTTAGAGAAAACCGGTCGTCTGCGAAAGACCTTGGGGAAAACTCTAAAGAGCAGTGGGCATTCACTACTTCCTTCGTCAAACATAACTTTCAAACAAAAGACACAATGCACGCACCCACATAGCCCCCTTCAAAAAATGTGGGCATCCATCAGCGCACGAGGACTCCTCCAGGGGAACGTTGCCGCAAGCAGCTTCGCGACCCCGGTCCACTGAACCTGCTGATCATCTACAAGAAAACCCAAGTCCTGAATGAAGACTACATCAAAATGACAGCCTCCTTTCAGGCTGGAAAGTGAGCTCACTTCAATCTGCCTTGAGTGGGCATCAATCACATCCTTCAGCTCTTCAGAAAGTTTCTGCTGCAGTGACAAAGGGCCTGTGCATTGACGAAGGGCGGGAATTTGATCCTCATTAATGAATTTTTGCCGTCTGTTGAGAGATGAGGTTTTGTGTTTCCTGGGCAAGCGACAAAGCCATTACTAAGCAATTCATCATCACCTACTTAAGGTAGGCGGGAACTATATGGCAGGATTTGAATTCGTGATTGATCCAATCGCTTCTCAAGACTATTTTGGGACCACTACCATTAGGTAATCTCCACTCTCCAGAACCTGACAACGCTTGAAATATAGCACAGATGTGATACAAAAATGCAAGTAGAGTGGATCACAAGAAATAACATGGAAAGGATTGTAAAAAGAGTGGAATTAGAGGGCGACAGTCTTTGAAAACAAGGGACAGCGCCCTCAGTCAATGAGTCAAACACGTACACACAAAGCCTCGGCGCTACGACAGCGCTTGCAGCGTTGGCGTAGGTTCCGCACGTAGATACAAGGTAGAGATAGTGATGTGCAAGGGTTTGCAAACCCTTAGGGGTACAAGGGTAAGGGTAGGGAGGGTAAGGGTAGAGGTTAGGATTTTCTGACCCTCAAAAAACCCCAACCCTTGACAAGGGTTGGGGGTTTTTGTGAGGGTAAGTCAAGGGTGGTCAACAGATTATGTAATAGATCATGTGAGCCGCATGAGCGGTGTTTGCCAGGAACGTTACATACATCAACAACAAACAAACACTTTTCTTTCTCAACTACCACTATCCACATTGACGACCACCCGCAACCGCGACCAACAACCCCACCTTCTGCAACCACCGCCGTTCGACGTTCTGAACCACCATCGCACACGTCGACAACAACGACAACATGGCAACGCCACATCAGCAGCCCAACGGCTGACGGCGACCTGGCACGTCAACGGACGTGCCACGTCGTCCAGACGGTGACGACGCAATCGTCGTCACTGCCCACATTAGTTCAGGTGCGCAATGTGATCCCTCCCCCGCACCCTTTCCTTTCTTCACACAACAAACAGGTGCCACGTCAGTGACGTGACAACCGACAACGACCGAACCACACTTTAACCACCGCCACCTTCCCCAACCGTGGTTCGACGCCCCGAACCACCACTACACATGCCAACAACAACAACAACGAGGCGACGCCACATCACCAGCCGAATGGATGACAGGTGACGGTGACGACCTGGCATGTCAACGAGCGCCCAACACCATGAAAAGTGATGAATGCCCAGCACCACCACTCGAGCCCAGGTGAGTTGTTACAACCCCGTCATCTCACTCCTTCCTTTGACATTGAATCCAGGTGCTACGTCGCTGTTAGCAACGTGGCAACCAAACGACGAACAACGGCCAATTCGTCGTTCGTCGTTGTCATCCATCTTATGACCCACCGGTGAGCACCCCTGTCCCAACCCACGTCTCTAACATGTCCCCCACAGATTACATGACACAATGATGACACCGCGCTGCAACAACGACACGACGACAATGACAGTGGACGGTCGAACGACCGACACAACGACATCTGATGACACGACAAAAAGAGGGGGGCATCACCTTGACTTATGTACTGATTGATTAGACTACGTAGTGTACATTATCCTTGACCCTAACGTTCACCCGTTGTGGGTTTTCGACCCCCCAAACCCTGTACAAACCCCTACCCCCACCCCTGAAATACCCTTACCCATGGAAAGGGTACAGGTTTGCATCGGGTAAGGGTAAAGGTAGGTGTGAAAACACCCGCGGGTTACCCGTGCTCATCACTAGGTAGAGATATATGGCTGATTAGTTTCCTTCAACTTCGACATTCTTGGATGTATAGAATTTTCCAGATCCTTCTCAGAAAATAAAAACCAAAATAGAGCATATTTGTGACTCCTGGTCAACTGCCAGTGAATGGGCAAGTGAATGGGAGTACAAGATTCGGTCCACTGGAGATCAGAAAAATCGGCTGAACTTGCATGGTCGAGGGCCTTATATTATTATATCCGACACAGAACAGTACCAGAATATATGTATTTATGATATTTAGTAGGCTTTGGTCTTTGGAGGCTGGCACCCTGTAAATAAAAACAATGCTTCTATATTGACGTTTTTTTTTCTGGATTTTTATGTTCCAAGCTGTCTGCCATTGGTAGCATCTACCTTGCGTCCACCGTAAAAAAAAAGACTACTGAAGAAATCTTCATTGACTTGTTTTTATGCTAAGTCGTTGCTTTTGTCGCGGAGCATAGCCTTCGGATTCTATTACCAAACATGATAAAATTTAAAGGAGCATACATAGTTTCCATAGCATATTAGCGTGTAAGTATGACAATGTTGAGTTTGTGCATCGTGTCGCAACTCTCATATGAGACTTGCAAGTCAATGACTGTCCAATTAAGTATTATCATTATTAGTTTGGAGGTTCACCTGCAAGTTTACTTATCCATACTACTAAAAACCATTTTTACTGTCTTTGAACAGCCTTGGTGGTTGAAATATTATCGAATCCTGAGCAAGAGAAATGAGATTCGGCAGATCCCAGCAGCGGAAATTGAATTCTCATTGGTGAAATGCGTGCGTCGGAAATCAAAATTCTGCCATATAGTTCCCGCCAACGCTACCTACTTCAAACAAGTGCATACAGAGCTGGTTTTACTCAACTCGTACTAAGCATGACAGAGATTTCACGTCGAATCGCCCACACCACGCGCTATCTCATCCGCGTCACCCAATGGCTTTGTCCACCTACCGCTCGAAGTTCTGTCAGAGATCCAGCCACCTCAACACCCCTAAGGAGACATACTTTCGGTTACCCGTAATTGCAAGTTCTTGTGCAGCACACTTTTAGAGAAATCGAATGAGAACATTTGGCGTAAAGCGAGGCAGAGAGCTTTACCTCTACCTATACCAGATCAACAGGGACTGCTCTCAGAGGCCGCGTATGCTTCGTTCCTCTTCGACAGTGGTCCTTGTGAGGCATGCGGAAATGAGACAGTACAGCCTTATGCATCGTTTGCATTGCGACTCAGATTGTGTCCGAAGGTGAGATTTCTTACCTCCTATACGCTGCGACATTAACGCGCATGCTCAGGACTCTTGCATGAGGGTGTTTTTGACAACGTGCGTCCTTTTTGAGTCTATCTGGGACAGGTTGGCAATCATTCCGACCACCATCGCTGAGTTGCAGGAAACAACCCGTTCAGTTGTGTTATCTTCTATTCCCCAGATGGGGTCGACCAGACGTAGTGGTGAGATCAGATTACTAAAAAAATTCTGCCTACTTTAATAGGTGTAGGTCTAGGGCCGAACTCGCATTGTATGGTCGCATTTATCCAAAACTCTTGCCGCTGGGACTGATGTTGTATACAAGGGCCTACGATCACTCCGATTTGTCGCCGAACGGCTTGGACGACCACGTTAAACGAATATGAAAACATGACTGACCGTTCTTCGTATGCCGAGGTTGGTACTGTGTAATTTATTTATTTCTCTATCATTTATTTTACGACCAGAGCACTCAAGCTAAGAGGGATCGCAAGAATAAGTGGATGCCGGTATGATACCCGTCACGCAATAATAGCTGCTTTTGACGGCACTCTATATATATCCAGATCTGTGCCGACCTATACGATTGGTTTACTAGGGTTCAAAATGCCTTCCGTCTACACAAGAAAGAAAAGGAAGCTGCGTGAGTCAGTTCCCTATCTCAAGACTTGCACTCACATTTTTTGCCCTTCAGCAGAAAAGGTCTTGTAACTCTAAATGGATGGGACTTCTGGGACATGATGAATTGTACCGTTTATGGGCCTTACCACAAGCACAAAAACCGAATCTATGAGCAAGTTGGCGGCGTCGGTGAGCTCTTGGGAAACAAGCTGGCCACCACTCGGCCGCTGACCACCTTACGCCAGAGTTCGAATCAATGAAACCGAAAATTGAGATTCAACTCCTTGCGCTGCAGGAGTGACGGAAACGTCGAGTAGCAGAAGCCGCCCATAGAAAGAGTAGAGAAGAAGCACTCCAACATCATTCCCGCCTCCGCTCTGCCGTACCCGCTCAGGGTGAATCGCGAAAACCGGCCGCTGTGTCTGCGTTTTTAAAGCTCCCAGTTCTCGACCCCTTGCAATCCCCTGGATCGTTACCAGACGACACCAGCGTTTCCAAGACTCTGAAGAAGGATCCTTTCGTGACTTGCATTCTCGAGGGTCAGGTGGCTCAATGGACAGACAAAGCTAGACAAGATTTTGGAGTCATGTTCGGCTATCCGGCAGAATGGAAGTCCGCGAACAAAAACATAGTACATCCAGCAGAGCGGCTATCTGCGAGGTATTTGTGCAAAAAATGCAAGTACTTCCCTACCAAATATCGCGATGACGAATGTTTGGATTTCGCGGGTGCATGTGCACATCAGTGTGTGGTAGGAAATCCGAAAGCCAAGAAGAACGGACAGGCCAAATGGACTGTTCCAAACTTCAAGAAGGATGATAAAGTGAGCTTCTTTGTTCACCGTCTTGCAGCAGACCATGATATTTTGGAAAGGCTTCTGCGGCTCTAAAGCAGTTGATTGCAATATTTGGCCATGATAACCAGAAGTCAAGCGCCAAGGATGTTCTATCCCGTAATAATTATGTTCTCTGTGTCTCTTGTGACCCTCCTTTGTATGTTTGTACCGCCGGCGTTGTGCGTCTCCAAGTTCTCTTTCCTTCCGAAGAGGATGTTGACCCTCCTGATCACAGGCGGGCCACAGTCATCGACACGAAGAGATGAAGATGCAGATTGCCATCACTGGATACGATCCATTGGTTATGGGCGCGCACGATGTCGAAAGGGGTCTTGTAAGAAAGTTGTTGGGTCCTGATAGGACGGTCAAAGTTGTACAGGAGAAGATCATTTTTGGGTGCCGACATTGCTTGCCAACTTCGAAATGGGCAGGGACGTTGATTGGGTCGGCGGGAGGGGGGTCTTTTGCCACTTGACATCAACAACCGGAGGCGATGATACAGCTGGGGCGGAACAACCCTCTGACGCTTTTGGAGAGGAGGAAAAGAACGAGAGAAAAGAGAAGCAACCCAAATTATTCAGTTTCAATGGTGTGCGTTCTCACCTGAAAGCCAAGTAGGTGCCGTGTCCTTCGCTACTTTTGTTTTTGTTGACAGTTTGCTTTCCCGCAGGCATAAGATTGAGAATATACGGGACGAAGATTTCTTCTGCGATCAGCCTCATGGGGTAAAATTGTAACTACTAACCTACCTTCTAACTTTCCTTGTGATACAAATTATTCACTTGCTACAGAATGATACATTTTATACCCTTCTTGCGATTCAAAGTGGCTGTTTTCGCTTCGAATGCTTATTATCTGTGTAAATATTATCATCTTGAACTGCGCTCAAGTTTTCTGAGCACTGGCAAGAAAATCTTCAAATCGTCAATTATCCCTCCGCCCTAGCCCAATACAACAACTAGTTTTTAAAAAAGTCGAAAGGCTAGATTATGCGACTGGCCGTCTAGCGGCTAAAACTACTCCCTCCTGGTCATGAAAATGTGATATGGCGAACAAATAATGATATGGTCATGCTGATCGAGGGGCTGTGATGGATATGAGCTACGGACAAGGAAAAGGTGAATATAAGTAGGTGGTCGCACTGAGACAATAGGAAAATTGGACTCACAGAGAGATCGTGTGTTGATAAGACTGTGTGATTGACCTTTTCAAGCAATAACACAGTAGGCGTTATTTCCACTGCCACCGTTATCCTCGTCGGTAGGAGCCGACTCAATGTCAGTCTTCTCGTTGATGGGGATCGCGTCGACGCCAGAGGTAATGTAGAATGTGAAGGCGTCCATGATAATTAGGGAGGATGAACGGGATGTAGAGGTTGAGGTGCAAGAAAAGAGCCGCGGTTGCAATGAGCCTAAGGTATGTCGCGAAAACTTTGTGGTTTTATAGACAAAGTTACGAGAAAGCGGCAAATGCCTACACCATGCCGACATCCATAGGCCTATTGTTTAAAAATCGACTAATAAGAAAATACGAAGGGTGACCGGTTGATCTGGCGTACCAGTAATTGTCGCTGCCGCGTAAGGGAGGTGAAGCGACTGAAGACAATAAACGGGGTGGCGGGTGCTCAATTTGACAGTGTGATGTGCCTTGCAGCTTGCCTAAATCTGGACCGTTAGGAACACTGGATGTTCAAAGTCGGTCATTGAACGGGATAAGGCCATGTCAAGAAAAACAAAAGAACAATTGTTGATCCGTTATCCCATGTCAGGTATGTTTGACGCCGTCGATATAGCGCTTGTGGTGATTCACCCACAAGACGTACTCAGTCGAGTACATAGCCATGGTTTGACTTGGATTTCTAGGTTGCAATTGTTAGCAAGTCGTTTCTTGACGTAAACTGGACGCGACGAAGATGATCCCAAGACAATAACTTTGGAAGAGAGACGGCGGCGTTTAGCATAAATCCACATTTTGAAAAATGGGAAGAGCGGACGTGTGCAGTAGACAGGTGGACAAGATGGGATGTTTATCGTCAGAGATGAAGTCGATCCCGCGGTAAAACCGTGAACGTGCTGGATTCCAGAAGACAACAAATGAAGGATTGCCGAAAATCCTTATGTGCCACGGAGTAAGACAAAAGCATATGTCATGATCAGGTACCTTTCTGCTTGTAAATGTTGAACGTTGAGGACCAATGACTATGCTTGATGAACAGTAGAATACCGTCAATCCTGAAGACTTCGGGCGACGAGAGAACTTTGTGTTACATAGAGGAATATCGTGACACTGCTCACGGCCTGTTCCCCAACATTGCCCCAACAGTGTCGACGTCGGTATATTTAGACGTTTGCAGCGAAACGGAGGAGGGAGTCAGATTCCAAGTGAAAAAAGAGGTTAAAAATCGCAGCTGAAAAGCCTCAAAAAGATATTTGACGAGAAAGACGAACGAAAATGCCACAATTGTGGTCATAAGGAGAAATAAGGAGTTGCCAATCACTGACAAATATCTGATCTTCCAGAACTTGCCTGAGCCAAACCTCACCGTCCCTTTTCTTCTTGTCTTGGCCGCTGGCTTCTGTCTCGCCGACTATCGCTTATTTCTTTAGGCATTGCGTTTACTACGACGAGGTTCTGGTCTGCTGCTCGCGGATACCCTACTAGGCTTGATTTGAAAGATGGGCAGTTGACCAGCTCTGCAAATGTGGAGGTCGTCACTGTCGCCAATACAATAGCCTCTCAGACCTAACTTCACCCGTGGTCTACCATGGCTTCTTCGTAACAGACGATAAGACTTGGGATCAGCCAATATCTGTAATTTCTTGAAGTGCAGGCTATGTCTATCTATTGGCGGCTCCTACGTGTATGCTGTCATCCAATATATCGGTGCTAGCTCTCAAGGATTGATGAAATGGAAGGAGACTTCGCACTTCAGTTTTCGTGTCACTCGGTGGGCATTTCTTGTTGGAGATATCTCTCAGGATCTACTTCACGTTGAAGCTCGCCCTGTGACCCAAGACCACAAGAGACATCGCTTCTCGCACTTGCTTCCAAACTGGGTCAATATCACACAATCAAACGGCTTTCAAACCAAAAACCTGATGGACAGAGTGTCATGCCTCAGGCGACTGAAGGAGATCCGGTGAGCAGAAGGCGATGCGCTCACCGAGGACGTTATCGTTGCTCAAGTTACTGTTTCGAGGGAACCACCTGAACCAACCTTTTTGCGGTCGCGTGACTTCGGCTGAGTTTTTTTTTGTACCAGACGCTTGGTGGGTGATAACGAGGAAGCCTTCTGAAAGTGTGATCGCCAAAAATCAAGTGTTTTTGGTGCAGCAAAGGGATTTTCTTTTCTTTGCGCACGAGAATTGAGTTGATAAAGCGTATCTTGCTCGGGTGTGTTGCTGGCCCACAAGGAATATAAACGCTTCAAGAATATTCAAAGTTTGTCCAAATGCCAGACGGCCTTACGTCATTCCTCTTCGGTTCAAATTGTGATCGAAGATCTCTGACCCGATCACCGATCGTTGACGAAGTCAAGCTTGTTTGTTCGCACCTTGTTCGCTTCGACAATTTTAACCCAGTTATAACCTGGCGAGTAAAGAAATGTTTCGTCTTCGTTTCTTTCCTTCCTCTGGTCATGATTCTTCCCACCCCCACACTCCTTTTTGCTCTTGGAGCGTTCCTCTCTTTACCTTCCGCTACACTTGGTGGGCTAGTCCAGAAACAGGGCCTTGCTGTTCCCCCTGCCTACGGTTCACACCAAGGAGAGGTCAAGCAAATTTTTCTTGACAGCTATAACGCTTACAAGTTTGTCTTTCCTTCTCTGGTAAAAAATTGGAGAGTTGACAAACTTGCAGGAAGTTCGCGGATGGCCATGACGATGTCTCCCCTGTGAGCCAGAGTGCGTCCTGCCTTGCTCTACCTTGAAGTTCACCGCTTATGCTGTTTCTCAATAGCTTCTAGTGACGGACGGAATGGCTGGGGTGTGTAGTATTCTGAGTAAGAATCACCTCTTTTGACTTTGATGGATGCAGGCGCGACTATCATTGACGCGATGTCCACAATGGTCAGTCCTCTTCCCCCCGTCCACACCCTCGCCCCTTCTAATGACCTTGTACAGAAAATCATGGACCTGGATGTATGCGCCCATTGTCAAGATACCATCTCATTCCATACCCACTTACGCAACAGGACCTCTTCGCTGATGCTGTCAAATTTGCATCCAACATTGATTTCAGCAAATCACAAACGTCGGACACCGTCAGGTATATGCGGCATGTTGTGCATCTCTGCACGTTTCCAACTCACTATGGTTACCAGCGTCTTTGAAACAACGATCCGTTACCTTGGTGGCCTGCTCAGTGCATATGAACTGAGCGGCAAGCAATCTCAGCAGCTGTTAGACAAGGCCAAAGAAGTCGCTGATAAAATGGCGCATGCTTGGGTCGGCGTAGGTTGCCTTTTCTTTGCGACTCTAATATATTCATCTGAAATGACAACTGGCAGAAAAATAGCATCCCCTATGGTCACATCGACTTCAGTACAAATACTCCCAGCACGGCCACGGTGAACTATGTTCATTGATGATTGATCTACACCGAAGCTGACTATGAATTTAAGTCGAACATTGCTGAGGCTGGAACAGTGAGTCTTGAGTGACAGTTAGAAGTCCGTTCAACTAATGTCTTTGAAAATAGCTGACCTTGGAGTGGGCAAAGCTGACCCAGTATACTGGAAACACGACATATAAGGCCCTCGCGGAGAACGCGGCACTTCATATAGCCAATTTGGTGAAGCTCTTTCTCTATCACCGACGAGCTTCTTCAGGCTGATGCTTCTGCGAGGGTGTGCAATTCCCTGGTCTCCCTGCGCAAGGCATCGATCCTTCCACTGGCTTATCCGTTGGGAAATACATCGTGCGTTGGCGCCGTCGTTCTACAAAACACTCACCCATTGCCGTTGCATAGACCTGGGGCGGAGGCTCTGACAGCTACTTTGAATATCTTATCAAGTATGCCCGCATGGATAGTTCAGTTAGCTCCGACTTTGCCGACTCTTGGAGAACAGCTGTCGATTCTTCGATTAAGGTTCTGCGAAAGGTGGAATCATGTGTATTGACTGGGATGACTGGTCGTTAATTCTCTCCCAGACTTCTACTGTTGGTGACCACGTATACCTCGCTGATTACGATGGGTCGAAAATCCGACACGTCAGTTCTCATTTGGCGTGTTTCCACGGTGGAAACTGGTTACTTGGTTCGAGACTCTCTGTAAATTCATTTTTCTCATCAGTTCTTATCTTGTTGTACAGGTGGTCAGCTGCTGAATAATGCCACCATAGTCGACATCGGTCTGGAGCTTACAGACGCCTGCTGGAATACGTACGCCCGTACAGCGTGAGTTTTTGGGCTTCAATGCAGTTTCAATAGGCTGAAAGAAGATATCTTGCAGAACCCAAATTGGCCCAGAAGTCTTTGCGTTCGTTTCCAAAGATGGGGGTTATACTGGTGGTTCCCCTCAAAGTGCAGAACAAACTGCTTTCTATGAACAGAACGGCTTCTACATCACGGCTGCAGACTACGTTCTTCGGCCTGAGGTTCTCGAATCCAATTTCTACGCTTGGCGTGTCACTGGAGATGACAAGTACTTGGATCGTGCCGCCTCAGCTATCAAGTCTTTCCAAGAGTACCTCAGTATTAAGAATGCTGACGGTACTGCCGGTTGTTATGCTGGTATTGATGATGTCAATAACAAGGAGTCATCGAGGATCGATGATACAGAGAGCTTTTGGTTTGCCGAGGTCTTGAAATATCTGTATGTTCAAAAGTCTTCATTTGTTGATGATGTCGAGATTAAATGGGTCGATACTACAGGTACCTGACCTTCGACGACCCGTCACGATACAGTCTTGATGAATGTAGGTGGATTGAACTCCATCCACCACAAGTAACTCACCTCCACTTTTCTCAAAAGATGTCTTCAACACCGAAGCCCACCCTCTCAAAGTCCCCTCTGGCACGGCAGATGCCACCTATGGAACTGGCAAGTTGCGCAAGTCCAACACACCGTTTGAAACCACTACGGGAAGCATTCCCGCTGTCAGCCCCATCCCTAACATTGGCAACGTTGTTACTAATGCGGTAGGCGGGGTGGAGAGTGCCGTCAAAACAGGGGGACCGAACAGGAGGAGCCGCAGATCTAAGCACAGGCGTTCGTTCGCTAGTGCTAGCCTTTGAAATGTTTGAGCAATGGAGGAAAACAGGACGCTGAATCGCAGCAGCCACTCGCTTATTCCACGACATATTTAATAAACTCTCCTTGACCACTCTGCATTCAAAAAAGTTCGGTCGACTTGAGGGTATCAGAATCCCAGATCACTCAGAAAGCCATCGTATTTTGATAGTATGGCTCGTTTTAGCCGTGAATCCATATTCATTTGCGATACTCTCCAAATGGTCTAGATTGCAGGAGGTCATCGTTTTACAAATGGTATATTACTCTTGTTTAATTTCGAATACCAAGCCTCTTGCTCGCGATGTTTGACAAGGCGTGTTTTCCCGCAAAGAAAGTGGGGATGGAGAGGATGGCGCCGTAGAGCAACACTTGCCCCAGTTTGAGGTCAACCCAGTACCAGAAAAGAAGCCCTTCAAACGCGCCGAGGGACAGAATGAAGGGGAGGACGTTGGGCGAAAGGAGACGCGTCTGAATGGGTACTACTTGGGTCCACTGTGAATATATAATTAGCGTACATAAAGAGGAGTAAAAGAATTGTGAAGCGAACCAGGCTCAGTAGAACGACCCACGGGGAGAGCACAAGCACAGTGAAGATTGCGGAGATGGGTCGCGGGGGAAGTTTCTGGTCTGGGCGGAAGGTGTGTTTTATTTCTGGTAGAGGATGGAAGGACGCTTCGTCAGGATGGGTGGGTGCTGGTGCTGAGCGTGGTACGACGAGATCGAAAAGGTCGATAGAGAGAGGTGAGTAGAGAGAGGATCCGATGAGAAGCGTCACTTTTAGAGGCGCGTCGGTGGTGGGAGGTAGCGAGAGAGGGGGCTTGGCCATGTTCTGTGAAGAGGTGATTAGTTCACTGAGGTTCTTGGTGGAGGAGCGAGTAAAATGTTTACAAGTTCGAATTTAGCCTTTCCTCCAGGGGTGACACGTATAGGTTGGATGCCCTCTTCGCCGGATTTTTCATCGTAGAAGCGAAGGAAGGTTTGGTGCGGCTGGACGCCTTTTTCGCTATCCTTCTCGACAACTTGAAAAGTGAGTTTCAAAATATCTTTTGCAGCCAATTCGACGGGGATTTGCGAGTCTTGAGCTAGCGAGATTCTAGGTGTATGTTGTTGAGAATGTCAAGAGTGGTAAGTAAGACGCACGTCTCTGAACGCAGTTGATTGCCAGTGGAGTCGGAGACTGTAAGCCGAGGGGAATGCAGGGATAGCAATGACGCCTGTGCTGCCACTGCAAGCAGCGAGAGATGGAGTAAAGAGAACATTATTGACCGGCGTAATGGACTCGAAGCCAAGATGGAGCGTCGACCGTTGACGTGTTCTTACGTAATTTAACACGCAGAGAAACACGAACACCAAAATGGTGAAAATGGCAAATTGGGTGACTTTCCGTAACACAAATTCTCTAGATTTGAATAAATCTACGAAATCTAGGGTCCTTTGCCGGGATGCCGAGTCTTGTAAGGGTTCGACTTTGATGGAGTCCCTGGTTGGAACCCAGTTACAAACCTTAATCTATTCAGAGGGTACAGACCCCTCGAACAGATTTCAAACGCTGGAATCAACCCTGCCAAGGGGACACCTTTCCTTCCTGGGTACAATTCCTTCCCACATGGCTTAGTCAGCTCTACCTCATCCCCTACTACTCTCCTACGGCTGGGGCATTCTGCTCCCTCTCGTTGCAGTTCAAAGCCACTACAGAGTCTATTAGAAGTGTCAATGTCTTATGGCTACAAAATCCCCTCCCGGAAACTGTTGCTCCCTTTACAAACACCCTTCTTGACACCTAACTCACTGATCCACAGCCATGTTCAGCTCAACTTGGGATTTTTTGGGCTTCACCCAGAGTGTGGTCTAATTTTACAGCGGGGTGGATGAATAATCAGTATAATAAACCCATCCACGGGCCTACACGACCTCAGAGCAGCTCAGATGGGAGGGAAGTGAGTTTGTACAAGGCAAGCAAATACATCAAATAGAATCTAATCAGTTGGCGTTGTGGTTTATTCACTCCAATAAACCCTCCTGTGAAGTTCTCGTTTCAAACTCCGATAAGGGTCAAATTTATTCATTTTTATAGATTTGAGTTATGGAAAGTCACCCATTGTGTGTGTTCAATCTTTTGATTTTAACATTTGTGACAGAAATCAAGTCATCCAGAATATACCTCTACCTCTACCTCTACACCGCCATTTTGTTCGGATCCCAAAATAAGGTCAGAGCCGGGACCTTAGACCCTATAGTGTGGGATCTCCACAATAAGGTCGGAGAGATGCACAAAACGGCCATGATCAAATCGTCAGGAAATCGGCAGGCCACCAGACCTTTTTTCGAGAGGTCTTTCAAGGTCTCGTCATTTTTACTGTCCTGCGGCACGGCTGGCAGAAAATCCCTCAATAATGTTTTGGGTCATTTTTTTTTGCTTCTCACTCTGAGCTTGCACAATCATGGGGAGAGGGTAAATCCGGTCAAATTTTATTACTGTATCAGTAATCTACATAATGCTACAAGGACGAGGTAATGGGGGTGGCCCGGGAGGTGTAGTACTCAGTTTCCAACTGTGAGCTGCTAAGTAAAACAGAAAGATTCAGCTCAGGAATGGGAACCATATGAAAAATTGGGAACTTACTTCAAGTAGCCGCTGACGCAGCAGCACGCCTGCATTCCCGTCAAATCCCTCGTGGTCATCATCTCTGCTCCCGTTTTTGTTGGCGCCGTGAAATATTTGCCGTGAGGAACTGTAAAAAGGGGGAGAAAGTGAGTGTAGCGCAAGCCGTGTGCCAGACCCAGTCGAGCCAAGTTCAAGCCAACGCCCAAGAGACCGAGCCAGAGCACAGAGCACAGCACACCAGGTAGACTGTAGAGACAAGAGGTGTATCGGGCTGTGAAATACCCAAGGGTGCTTGGGGGAAGGAAAGCGAAGGCGTGTGAGCCGCTAATGGCAGTGAGAGAAGGAAGGGAAGAGATATTGAATGTTGTGGCTTGTTTGCATTATGTTGAAGTTGGCATGCAGCGGAGTTCCAATGGACTTGAAAGAAATTTCGATACTCGCGAAAATGTCATTCTCAGGTCCAAAGCCGAGACCTTTTTTTAAGCTGGCAGTCAGACCATCGCAATGCCATTGAGCACCCCTCATGATGGTTTTACATAAATATTAAATAGTCTTATTTTAGCATCATGATGACCTTGATCAAAGACCTGACCGGGTATCAAACGATCAATCTTATTTTGGTATCCGAACATGTTGGCGGTGTATCTCATCTGTCGGTTAGCAGTACAAAGGGGAGCAAGCTCCCCAATTAAACACATGGAATTTGAAATTGGCCTTTTGCATTCCAATGTCTTGCTGTGCAAACTCAAGGACTAAGTCATTTGATAGCACCCAGCAATCCATATTGAGCGGTGTAATTTTTTTAGAACAATCTTCTCAGGAAGCATGGGAAAACCCTGTCTACAGACAGAATATTTGAGGCCCCCTCTGGCCAGAAAAAAAAACATTATCTTTAGATTGAGAACGGCTATAGCCTATGGGGTAGGGGGTTGGATAGACCTGGAGTAATGGGCTGAGGCTTGAAAATCTGATGAAAGCATTAGCTTATCTTTTTTCTTCTATGGATTTCATTATATGAAGCAAGGGGGTGCCAGCATCAAAAAAAAAGACCTGGGGTCGATTTTTTTGTTAAGGCGACTTGAGGTGGACTAACTGACTAACGTAATCAGGCACATGTCCAAACATCAGTAAGATGGCAAAATAGATTCCGGGTTTTACTGGTTTTGGAAGTTGCCGGGGTGTCCGGAAACCTGAAAAGGAATAGTCTAAGGGTCTCGCCAGTCAGGGACTAGTGAACGTGTGCATCTTATGCTATTTGGGCGGCGGGTTTCTAACAAAGGACACATAGGTTGCCAAGTTTCAATATTTTTCAATGTTTCGAGGTTTTTAGTGGTTTTCGGAGGTTGCCAGGGTTGAGAAACCCATGGAAACTGATTTGCTCAATTACTGATGAATATGGTAATATTAGTAATATTTTTACATCACATTTGCCTCCTTGTCCTTGTGCAGACTCCCTACACACCGCGCAAACCCATATTGAGGTGCCTGCTCAACCCATAGTAGTAGGTAAGGTTGGGCAGAATACTGTGGAATTGCATACCCATCAAGTTTCATGGCCATTCTTTCTACACAGCAGTGCATTCATGGTGCAATTTGGCCAGTTTGACAGATAAAATTGTTTATCATTAAAGTAACCTATTTACCCTTTACACAAAGTGTTGAACCTGCATGTAGATGATGCAATAGGGTAAGTAAGAGCTGCTGGAAGTCCTTTGGATGCAGAAAATTGAGAACAAGGGTTTGGGATGTGACCAAAAATGTCATGTTGCAACACAACCAAAATTCACCAAATAGCACTCATGAAAATTAGTTGTGCACACTTGGTGAACACTGCAAAGCAAACAACTATATGGTAGTATGTGACATAAGGACACTTAATGCAAGTCAATATGAGGTTCTGAAGCAATCCTGAGCTCTAGTTGTCGAGACCTCCATTTTTTTTTTTTTTTTTTTTCAGACCATCAGCTGGACTAACTAACCAGGTATAGGTCCGGCATTCTATTGCCAGAGCCCCCTTGATATGAAGAGCATTTGCTGCAATGCAGCAAAAACACTCTCATGACTTGAGCCGATGCGGATGTGACAGACATGCTCTGCCATGCATACTACTACTAAATGCCGCTTGCAGCTCAAATCTGCAGAGGTGCAGCTCAACTTTGATGGTCTCACTATTGCAGCAACACAGAATGAACTGGATTGTTCAATTGTTTCCAATCAAATGCTTGAATCATGATTCATCCTATTGCATGACCTCATCTAGATCTCAACACAATAAAGTCTCCAGCTAAATGACCACCTGTAAACACCTCATCACCACCATTGAAAAATCTGACTGGCTTGACCATGTTATAATCATATCTGCATTTATATTCTGTTTCCTCATTATCATTTTGATTCTGAAACACTACATGGATCAAGGGTTGAGGATTGCTTTTTGGTGGACAAAGTTTATAACACACATGCAGGAAATGTGTGGATGGGGATGCATAGTCTCTTTCAGCTATAGAAGAGTTAAAACAGAAAAATGCTGTCCCAAAATGGGGGAAGGCATGAGGTCATTACTGTTGAGTATTGGGGAAATGGGATTATCAATGAAGGAATGAGCAGTATATGGTTTGACATTCATTATTAGTGTTTAAAGGTTCAGTCCACAGAACCAAAAAAAACCATAAGACCAAACTGAACCAAAGACCATGGTCCGGTCTTTTTTTCAGTTGCAGTTGCCCAAATATGGGGTTATTCCAGTTGCTGGTTGCCTCATTTCAAAAATCTTTTTAAACCATTCAAAGACCAGTTTTAATTGGTTGCAACTGGTTAAATGGTCACATGCATTACATACCCTTGTAACCATGTTTATTACCTTAAATTGGGTTTTTATTTTATCACAAATGCTTGAGAACTGAGATCTAGAAAGATATAACCAAATCCATTTTGGTACAAATACTTGTTTGCACAACTTGTACCAGAATGACTTTGATTCTTACTCAGTCAAATTTTCATCATTTTGCTTGATTCAATATTTGGATATTGAAACTATAAGTATGAAAATATGCTTGCCAACCATCAATGTATGGTATGCATTAAATAATTTGCAGTTGCCACATTAAAATTTGCCCAAGTCTTTAGGAGATGTAATGCAGTTTCAGTCATAGCTACATCAAATCTTCATTAAATCTTGTACAAATTGGTAGAATGATGAGTATTTACATGCTTTACTATGTTATATAATCCATATATTTTTCGGATCAATAATAGTTGAGATACAAACAGTTTATATTGGTACAATGAATTATACACAAAAGAACTGGTCTGGATCAGTCTGAACTGTTTCCATGGACTACAAAAGACCAGTCCTAGGTGGTTCAGTTCAGTTCCCTCAATATCTGGGTTGGTCCTAGACCAGTTGCAGTCCACAGTTGCACATTTTGGGGGCAAAAAACCAGACTGAACTGAACCTGTGAACACTATATACAACCAATTCTATGTTAAGCTCTACAATGACAACCACACTAGCTGATGGTGGTTGATGGCTGATGGCTCTGTGTTTGTTGCAAAGCTTCACTTGCATACTTGTCAAGATACTTGAAGAGTCTGTTTTTCAATCTATCCTCAACCTGTTGTAGCACTGTTATGTCCAGGCCCATGGGAGGTGCCTAGTGATTGGCACGGGTAACCCCCGGGTATTTTTGGACAAACCCGTACCCTTACCCACAGAAACCCATACCCGTGGTTGAGGGTACGGGTTTCTGTGGGTAAGGGTACGGGTTTGTCTGGGTTTGGCGGGTCTTATGGGTCTTATGGGTTTGGCTTAAAATGGGTGTGGCAGGATGGGTTATATTATATATGCTACGTATTATGTACCTACCCGGTTGTGTAGGCAGGCCCACACACCTCAATCTACAATGGTTGTTGTCCTGGTAGTTGTTGTGTTGTGTCCTCGCCTGGTCATGTTGCATTGTAGGCATGCCTTATGGTCACGTTGTATGTCGTCGTGTGGTGTGGTTCGTTGTTGCTCATCATGGTTGTCGTCGGTTGGGGTCACCGACCTTCTTCATCGTTCGTTGTCCGACATTGCCTTCGTCGTTGTCGTTCATCTTCATCGCCATTCCCCCTTTCTCACTGTGGAAGGACGGCGTGGATGATTGTTGTCATCATGCATCGTTGTCCTGTGCCACGTCGTCCACCAACTCCATGCCGTGCTGTCGCGTTGTCGTGACCGTGGCCATGTCGCAGCCGTGTGTCGTGGTCATGTCCGTGTCGCATCACGGTCGTAGGTCGTGGTCATCATCTTGTGTGTCGTTGTCACGTCGCTGTGGTTTCGTTGTCTGACGAGCGTTGGCGAGTGTGCATGACTTTGAAGGGATCACGGCAGAGTGGTTCAGGGAAAAGAGAATCGGTATCTAGTGACAACTTGTAAGCGATTGAAATGTGGAATAGAACACGCATGTGTGATAGTATCCTATGCAAGGCAAAGGGTGGTTCATGAAAGTGGTGAAGGGGGAGTGAATGAGTGATAAAGTGAAACAAAAACTTAGTGTGGGACGTACCAGGCCAAGAGCTTGAAGGAATTGGGTTGAGTTCCTCCTTGATGTGCGGTATCCCCTATGTCACTGACAATGACCTGGTATCTGTTTGGTGTCAAAAGGGAGACTCGAGAGTTGGAGGAGTCGTACTAGTTCGTCACCGTCAGACTGCCGCTTCGTCGTTGTTACCTCTTGTCAATCTTGTGGTATGACATGCCTGCTGGTGACATGGGGTTCATGCATCATTCTTGTGGTGTGCAGCCATGTTGGGGTGGTTGTGCATAGTCAGCGAGGGTCGTCGTCGTCGTCGTCACTGGTGATGGTGGTGGTGGGTGGTGGTTGTGGTTGAGGACAGGGTTGTGGGCAAGTTTGTTGACGCCCAAATTAGGTATCGGCAAACGCCAATGCTTTGGGTGCAGGGTATATTTTGGGTATATTCACCATCCACGGGTACGACCTACCCTTGCCACAGGTATGGGTTTGGTGAGGGTTGGTAAAGCCCAACCCATACCCCTACCCAAGTGGACCCCTACCCGCAACCCGCGCGGGTCACCAAACCCGTGACAATCCCTAGAGGTGCCCATGAAAAATCAAGACCACTTGTTGCAGGTAGGCTGAGTGTTTGGCCATTCTGTCTCATTGCTTCACTGAGCTCTTTGCATAGCCAGCAACACTTTTTTGCCACACTGATCCTGCTGGCATCCTGCACACGAGTGATCATCAGCAAATAGCACAATTGGATAGAAAGTGGAGAATGACCTTGAGAATATCAACAAAGCTTGATGGTAAACTAGTTGCTGGATTGGAGGATTCTTTGATAAGTGCCATTAATGTGGCTTCTGCATGCACTGTTCCCATCAACTTCTTGTCACCTATCTTTTCCAAATTCTTGAGACTTTCTTGGATAGCCAGGTCAGCATTGTATGTTTTTATGAACTCATCTAGCAAAGCCCTGGTTGATGTCGCTGCTTGATTCTCCTGACTTGGAACCCAAATCTTGACAATGTGCAAGAACAAAATCCCTTTTTGTGACCTGAAAATCTTGGAAGAGTTCAGCCATGCATCAAGCCATGCATAGGCATGATTCCAAGCTACAATCGCTCGGAAATAACACATCAAAAATTTTCCAGCAGCTTCACAGTCACTGATGCCAATGTCAGAGAGGGCTTCAGCTCTGTCATCAGACTTGCTGTCACTGTTAAGCTGGGGAGAACCATCTGCATTCACAAATAGGTTAATCCAAAACCATCCTTTCAAAAAGGTGCTTACATAAATCATTGATTATATATTGTTCATGAAGGTTATTCTGGAGAAAGTTGACCAAGCCCCTAAGGCCCAGGATAGCATCATAGTAGCATCCAAGGACATAAACCATGCGGTGCAGCTGCCCCAACTGCAGTTAAGTTAGTCACCTTGGCTCATTAGTAATGGGCCACCCTGCCCTGACAATCCATCAAATGGTAAGGGGCTAGCTGGACAGCCGGTTTGATTACCGGACCCCATTGTCAAAGGGGCGGCCGGACCCTGAACAATCCACCAGTAACTATGTGTGGGCCGTCAGCAACAATGTCCCATACCACTGGAGCGGCTGGGTGTACCTTGAATGTCATAACCCAGTGCGGGGCTGCCCTCCGCCGGGGTGTTGGTGACACACTGGCGGCCATCATCCAGTTGAATACTTAGAATTACAAGTCTGGCTTATATCAATCATGCATAATATTATCAACCTATGTATGCTGTTTGCTACAATTTGAGTGGAATCACTCTGCCAGACTAAGCACTGCACATTGCTTCTGAAACACTCCACTGGACTAAGCACCACACATTGCCTCCACAAAAATGACACATATTGGAATGATCTGTTGGAAGAAGCTTCACACATTTAATCTGCAAAAGTATTTGAGTACACCAGCAAGGCGATTCCTCCGCAAATATTGCTCCACTGGTTATATAATTTTTTTATGGTACACCGCCGGACCAACCACTGCACATTGACTCCGCAAACATAGAAAAAAAATTATAATGAAGTTTGACACATTTACACTGAAAACATATCTAAGTACACAATACCTCCACAAATATTGCCCCACCGGCGGTGTCATTTCTTATGATATGCTGCTGGGCCAGCCACCGCAAATCGCCTCCGCTTTTATATTGAAAATTTATAATAGCCTGTTAGAATATTTTTGACATGTTTATACTAAAAACATATTTAAGTACACCATGCCACCGCAAATATTGCTTCGCCGGCGGTGTCATTTTTATGATACACCGCCGGGCCAGCCACCGCAAATCGCCTCCGCTTTTATATTGAAAATTTATAATAGCCTGTTAGAATATTCTGACATGTTTATACCAAAAACATATTTAAGTACACCATGCCACCGCAAATATTGCTTTGCCGGCGGTGTCATTTTTTTTATGATACGCCGCCGGGCCAGCCACCGCAAATCGCCTCCGCTTTTATATTGAAAATTTATAATAGCCTGTTAAAATATTTTTGACATGTTTACACCGAAAACATATTTGAGTACACAATCTCTCTGCAAATATTGCTCTGCCGGCGGTGTCATTTCTTTATGATACTCCGTTGGACTACCCACCACATAGAACACCCTGCCAAGCAAAGCACTACACATTGCCCCAAAAACACCACCAATCTAATGGTTCTTCAAACTTTAGCTGTGCACACTTTCTCTCAATATGAGCTCTGGCTCTGATAGCCAGAGATAACCAAGTATGCATTATGCAGGACCAGAAAAGGGTGTTGCGGCAACAAGGATGGTCTGGCTATTTTGCTTGTTGCCAGGCAGGGACCATCAAAGTTTCAGTTTGTGCCTGAGACATTTCCAAATTGAGGTGATGCGCTTGGTGGATGGGCCCTCCACCGCATGCAAACAGACCCTGCATCCTGACAAACAACGACGCACTCACCCAATTTCAATCCATGTAACCTGAAAACCAGCCAGGTGATAGACCTCAATGCCATGGTAATTACCATGTTAAAATCTTCAAGAGATGTTTTGTTTTTGTTGACAAACACGGAAAAGAGGGTTTTATGTTGATAATCTCTATCAAACCTTGACTGCATTGTGGCATTACAACAAAAATCATCAAGACTTTTTTTTTTCCCGAACAACTTATCGTCGGGCCTAGCTCGTTAGAATTGTCCCCTTTCAAGCTTTTCAATGGTGGTTTTTACATGAGTCAAAAGTCATTATTACATGTTGCGGGGCTGAAACAACCTGTGAAATGGTACTTTTTATGATAGAAACCATCAAGGCTTTTCTTTTCCCCAAACAACTTATCGTCGGGCCTAGCTTGTTCGAATCCTGACTTCTCCAGCTTTACAGAGGTGGCTTTTACATGAGGTAACAGCCATTATTATGTTCTGCAGAGCTGAAACAGCTTGTGAAAAGTTAAAATTTACAATGAACACCATCAAGACTTTTTCTTTTCCTAGGTAACCTACTGTTGGGTCTAGCTTGTTCAAATCCTGCTTTCTCCAGCTTTCCAGAGGTAGTTTTTATGTGGGTTGACAGTCATTTTTACATTCTGTGCAGCTGAAACAATCTGTGAAAAGGTATTTCACATAAGTGACTCTTCAAAACACACTTGTGAGCATGTACAGAGGTTTATATACTTTCTTCCAAACCCCTTTGAAGGATCCAGATGAGTCTCCCCTCTGTAGTCTATCCACTGCAGCTGCAATATACCCTCCGCAATTTACCTCCCGCAATATACCCTCCGCAGCCACAATCTACCCTCTGCAATATACCCCCTGCAATATACCCTCTGCAGCTGCAATATACCCTCTGCAATGTACCTCCCACAATATACCTCCTGCAATATACCTCCCACAATATACCTCCCACAATATACCTCCTGCAATATACCTCCCGCAATATACCATCCGCAGCCGCAATATATCCTCTGCAATATACCTCCTGCAATATACCTCCTGCAATATACCTCCCGCAATATACCTCCCGCAATATACCTCCCGCAATATACCTCCCGCAATATACCATCCACAGCCGCAATATATCCTCTGCAATATACCTCCCACAATATACCTCCTGCAATATACCTCCCGCAATATACCTCC